CCCCCCCCCCCCCAAAAAAAAAATTTCGGATGTGCCAAAAATTTGCTCTTATTGATCTAGGGGCATCCCCAAAATTTCGTTTCGGTACAAGCATGCGTTCAAAAGTTAGAGGGGGGGGGGTCGGGGACTTTTCGCTCACCCTGTATAGTTGTTGCATTTTGATGAAAATGCGTTATTTATATGTACGGACCATATGTGCCAAAATAGACTGACAACAATTTTTGTAAAAATTCGGTGTCTCCGGGCGTCTCAGTGAATGGTTAATCGGGCGTGAAAGATTAAGTTCAACGGCGGCGAGGCGAGGGTCGCTTCGCCGCCGCGCCGTCGAACTGTTGGGACCGCCGCGGAAATTGTTTTTAAGGGTTTCCAATCAGCGGTCATTCGGTTTTTTGGTGAAAGACCATCAGCGCTCAACAGTATAACGATTCAAAGACAATCAAACGGGTCCGAGGAACAAAATATTTCGAACACCTGTTGAATAGTATTGGTTATTGGTTGGTCACAGCTGGTTTTAACGACTTTAAATTTTTTGACGAGTCACAAGCAAAAACTCTTCAGGTTCTTAAAGTAGAGTGTCTACTGAGTCATTTAAGCCAAAAAGAAAAAAATTCTGTCGAGCTCCTGGAAAATAAAGTCGATTCAAAGGTATTTTTGGGCTAAAATAGCCAAATTACCCATAGCAAGGCCCGTCATATTATTTAAAAAATTGTTTTCTTCCTGGGTATAATGCCCAAGTTTCTTAAACATGCATATTTTAAGCCTCCGATTACTTAAACTACCAATTTTAACCATGTGATAAATTTCGGGGGCCTAAAATGAGCCCTCAGAGCCAAAAATTGCAAACATTTTCGAAAACTTCGGATTTTCAGGGGGGTGTTTTTTTTTAACGTTGTTTTTTCTACAGTCGTCAATGAGTAATTCTGAAGGGCATTTTCGATTACATAATTGACATTTTGACTGTTCAGGTGAAGGGGGAGGGGGCATCAGGCTTTGCTTTGCCATTCTCA